GGTTTACATATCTCTTCTTCATCACTTTGGTCAATATGATCTTCCGCCATTAAGCACAAGTTTGTTGTTTCGTCTTCAGGTTCAGTCTCCGATGAATCAGTTGCAGAATCTGCCAAAAATGTCTTTTGAAGTCTCTTTTTGTCCTTCCTGAGCTTGGGTTTTTCCTCACCCTTTTCTTTATTTATGTGATCTTGAAGTGTAGGACAATCTGCTCTGACATGTCCAAGCTTCCTGCATTCAAAGGAAACAACATCAGAAGATCTTTTAGAAGATTTATTATCCATACATTTTCTCCAACTTTGATGATGCTTGTGCTTCTTCCTTAGAAAGCTTTTGAATTGCCTTGTGATAAAGGCAATTTTATCGCTCTCAGACCCGGAAGAATCAGAGTTAGATTTGTGCGCCTTCAGTGCCACTGTTTTCTCTTTTCTTTTCTCACCTGCATCAAGATTTCTTTGATTCACTCCTTGCTCGTAAGCAATGAGTGAGCCAAATAAGTTGTCAATTGAATACGTATTCAAATCTTTACATTCAGTGATTGCAGTGATTTTAGCATCAAAAAATGAAGGCAAGCATCTCAAAATCTTGTTCACTTTTTCATAGTTTTAAAGTTCTCTTCCTAAGGCATGCAAAGAAGTAACAATCTGAGTAAATCTCGTATACATTTCAGAAATTGATTCATGAGGTTTCATACGAGAAAGTTCGTAGTCATGCATGAGAATATTCAAACGAGATTGTTTAACTTCATTAGTGCCTGCATAAGTGATACACAATTTATCCCATATTTCTTTACCAGATTTGCAAGTGGAAACACGCATGTAGTCTTCTGATTTTAAAGCACAAAAAAAGCAATTAAGGCATTTTACAATTAATTGAGACAAATTCCTATCATCTAAAGTCCATTCATTAAACGGAAGTGGAACAGTAATGCCGTTAAGTTTACTAGTTGGAGGTGTGTAACCATCCTTAACAAGCATCCACATGTGATAATTAGTAGATTATAAAAACATAGACATGTGAGTTTTCCAAAAATCAAATGGGATATTATCAAACCAAGGTGGCTGGGTAATAGAATACCCTTCCGGTGTATTACGAATCCAAAAGTTAGCCATAGATCAAAATTCAAAAAGTTTTCAAACTCAATTTTTATGAATTCTGCTCTGATACCATTTGAAAGTTTGTTAGGGATGTTAAGCCATATGGAACTGGCCCGAGGCTAACCAAGAGAGGGGGGGTAATACACAATTTTAAATTTATTTAAAACCAAAAGAACGATTATCACAAACCAAATCACCACAAAAACAAGCGCATAAGAAAATAAATGCGGAAGCAATAAAAACAAGAGCACAAGGGTTTATAGTGGTTTGGTCAACTCGACCTACGTCCATTCCCCGGAGGAGCCCTCTGAGTATTGCACTACAATCGTGACTCTCCTTTAGCCCCCACAGTTAGGCGGAGAAGCCCTCACAAAAACACCTCCTTTTTGCCACACCCGGCAAGGCAGAGAACCCAACTCCTTTTTCTTCCTCCTGAAGCAGGTAGAGAACCATGATCACTTGCTGAAACTTACCTCTCCCAATCCTTCCAAGGAAAAGAGACTCTAGGGAAGAAGAAGTGGAACAATGCTTGGAGCAACCCTTGTGAATCCCCTCATAAGCTCCCCCTCATAAGTTCCTCTCTCTCTCTCTCTCCCTCTCTCTCTTTCCTTTAAGTTTTCTCAGGTCAAGATAGCAGCCAAGGATGTTAAAAAATGTTGAACAAGATCTCTTAAATAGAAGAGCTTCAAAGGGGCTCATTAATTGCAAGTTATCGACTTTATCGTCGAGGATGATATGGAAATCGTCCTGACCGATCAGTACAAATATTATAAGATCGGCCAGAGCATAGCCCTGAATGCAAACTGGATGATTTAAACTTTGCTTGATCATCCCGGACGATCTCATGATGGTTCTGGCCGATCAGTTAAAATCAGAGGAAAATCGTCCAGAGCATCGCCCTGAATTTGAGCTGGCCGATATTTATTATTCAGAAGCAACTGAGGATTTTTGAATAGATCATCCAGGACGATGTGATCGTATCAATTATCCTTAATTACTTCCTTGATTCCTGGATCAATTTAGGCATAATTGTGTAATATCGTCCAGGATGATCATCCGATTTCCAAAAATACAGAATACCTAAATTGATCATGGCAGCAAATTCTTTCTGTATTGAGCATATCGTCCTGGCTGATACAGGTATCGTCCAGGACGATCGGTTAATTATGGCTGCCTTAACTAAGAAATCCAGATTAGATCTTCTATTTTGAACTCGATCGTCCAAGACGATATAAAATATCGTTCGGGACGATTTGAGTAAAAACACAAGTTTTAAATCTCTCAAGTGTGTGTGTGTAGGGTTACTTAACATCAGTCACTTCAAGAAATTACAATTGACTCAAAAAAGTAAAAAGAAAGTTACAAACTGACTCAATCCTAATCTACCCAGTCTTGAGCTGATTCTGATTTCTGTCCGATCTTTGAGTCCTGAAAAGTCAGTAGAAAAAAGGCAGTCGTAGTGAAACAAGATTTGTTTGCTATCATCAAAATCATAATCCAAAAAATATGTTTGTAACACAAAGGTTGTTTTATTGGTGAATTATAAAATAATATTATTGTGTAAAAAATCTACCATAGGGAGGTAAAAATCCAAATAACCTAATCTCTTGCCTATGAAACCTCTTTGGAGGTTTCCTAGTGTCCTATTTATTAACTTAATCTACCCATCTGTTTGAGGGTGGAATGTTGATGGCAATATTAGGACAGTGTTACATTTCAAAATATTTTTAAGAAATATGATATAAATTTATCATCTTAGTGAGAAAAATTGTATAAGGAAGTCCATGAAGCCTAACTATATCCTTAAAGAATTACTTTGCTATATGTGATGCATCATTGGATTTTGAGAAAGGAGGAAAGTGACAAAATTTGGAAAATAGATCAACAATAAAGAATTTGCTATCATTTCCCCAAGTTGTTTTAGGAATGCTAAATACAAAGTTATTAAAATTGTCCTCCCAATACCTAAAAGGGATAGGAAAGGGAAAATATTTTCTCGAATTTTGCTTTGTGCCTTTTTTCTTATTTGCATGTATAATATTGAGTTGCATAGTTTTGAACTTGTCAATATGTCATATTATCACCCTATAGTGTAATTCCATGATAAGAATTATGCTCCTGGAAGTCCTAGGGATACAAAATAATTTAATCTTATATAGATACCCTTATAATCATCATTTAATTGCTTGAAAGTATAGATCCATTTGAATATACAATAAATAAATCAAATTGATGTTTATGCAGAATTGAAAATAATCCTTTGACCTTTAAATCTGAGAATCTAAAATTCTAATGGCATGACTACAAATGAAACTCTTGAAAGGGCATCAACAAGTTTGTTATTTACCTTAGACTCATGTTTAAGCACATAAAAATGAAATCCTACACCAAAAGCATTGTAAGTGACTTCAAATATTTTGTTAACTTTTGAGAGTTTGATTGCTCCAAGGCTTTTTAAGATATATGAAGTCCATACAAACTTATCTTTATTTAGGAAATCAATAATGGAGTTGAGAATTGTGCTAAGATTTTGAATAAAACTTTTATAGAAGGTAATTAAACCATTGAAGCTCCTAATATATCTAAAACTCATAAAGGTTGGCAAATCAGGGATAACTTTAATGTTTTGATATTCTTTTAATCATCTAAAAAAGCAATAAACTCAAGAAAGATGATGTTGTTGACCTCATTTTTGTATGAGGTCATCATGACCTTCCAAACTTTTGATCTTAGGTTGATATTCACCCACTTGTCAACCATCTTGCCAGTCAATTAATCTTACATCTAGTGCTCTATCAATCATACATTCAATCAATTATTACTCCAATCAACAAGTCACTCAATCAATCATTCAACCCTCCTATCTTTAATTGATCAATCAATGCCTATATGTAGTTGCAGCCTTGCACTATACTTAGGTACCCTAGTGTACTACCTTGTATAGTGCAATGATCCTTGTATCCCAATCAAAGTCCAAATCATTTCACTAGGAGCCCCACATATCTAAACACCCATCATTAAGCTTATGAACCATTGGTGGATCAATTTGATCTAGTTGCGTTAGCTCAACTAACTATACACATCTACTACATCCAGCTCAATTACAAATTGCCTCTGAACTCACCCAAACCTCTGTGAACACTTCTCCTAGTAGAATGGACTTAACTAGTCACCTTGACAAAGTCAATAGTTAACAGAGTCAATTATACTCATCACTAGTCAAAATCGGTCAAATTAAAAAACTTCAATATATACAATAATATCAAGCATCTTAATCTATTATAATGTTTCCAATCTATGTTTTAAATCTATCTAACAAGCCAATGAGTTGGTTTGACTCGGCCAACTCAAACAGAATGTTCAAACCCCACTATAGAAAGGTCCTTTCTCTTATATAATAGATATATCCTTCAAGAATCTTTGCAAATCACTCCAATGTATGATTTTAAATATACCTAAACCTACTTTGAGTTACATCATGGGTGGTTTGACTTGGTAAACCACCGTGTGGGGTCAAACCATATCTATATAAATTATTTTGCTCGTACATTAAATTCATGCCTTCAAACTCTTTCCAAGTAATCTTAATCGTATATATACACCACTTAAGTGCCATTTCAATTAGCTTGACACATTGACTAGTAAATTTAGTCATCAAACACCTTAAAGGACCATTCATGGTCAAACCACTTCAAAAGAAATTTATCCTCCAAAATAATCTTACCCAGCTCACTTAGCCTAATCAAAATAGCACTAGAAGCTTCCTAAGACTCAACGCAACCCAATCCAGTTATAAGCTCAGCTCAAGCTCACCTCGTGGTCCCCCCATGCACGTGATAAGGATAACTCACTGTCCTCACCTATCCAGCTTATTTCCTGGCACTCTAACAACCAGGGACACATGTTCTCAACCCCTAAACTATTATCCTTGAGTGGCTCTAAGAAGAAGAACTTTATGGTTGAAGCATCTAGATCATCCAAGCAAGCTCCTGTAGTTAGAATGGGGCCAAATAACAAAAGCACTCATTCTTACCAAACACTCACTCCATTCGATTCCCATAGCTCTTGGCATTTTGCTTTTGATTCCCATGAGTTTCTCTCTATCCTCCCACTGATTTCTCACTGTTTGGAAGCTGTCGGTGACGTGAAAAGCGAAGGATCAAGGAAAACTCCATCCCAGTCACTGCAAATCATTTTTTAGACATCTTCTGAGCTTCGTTTGTTTTATAAAGTCATAGAGGAACTTACACTGAGGAGAACAAGCCTTTCTATACCCTGAAAGACCATCTATATGCATGTAAAACTCTAACCCTAGGCGTTTATCTAGGTTCTTAAATAACCTTCTAAACATTACGTCAAAAGATTTGAAATTATTTCCCCATTCTCGCTTTGATCTTATTTTACCTATGTTAGGAGTTTTAAATACTTTTGTTTTCTATTTCAAGAATAAAAACAAAATATAAATCTAGGGTTTATAGGTTGACGGAGGAAGAAGATAATTCTGTGGCTATTGGATCTATTCTTTGTAGATCAATGGTCACGACGGCTCCATATCCATGGTTTGATTTGATCCATTCAAAATATGAGATGGCTAGATCTTCATCCGACTGAATAACACAGTCCGTTTCAATCTGCGGGGTTTAAGATGGCCATCCAATTTTCTTTGTTTTGATATACCGTGCGATTTGATCTTAATCGTTAGATCAAACCCACGGTAGATCCAATGTATGAATCCAATATCGTGCTAGATAAGTGGATCCAATCAGTTGATCGCCACCATCTGTATGGTCCAGGATACTGACGCCATGTGGAAAGTACTCGCACAGTTAGTGCTGCCGACTGGCTATGTAATAAACCTTTAAAATAAATTTAGAAAACTCCTAGAACTTTAAAAAAACTGTAGAAAATTAATTTTTCAACTATTTTTATAGTTCTTAGACTTATTTTCTTCAGAATTTAATATAGTTTATTTTAAAATAAGGTCAAGACTTTTTATTAACATTGTATTAGTTATTTTAATTATACAATAAAATGTATTTTATTTTTAATTTAAAATATATAAATCATTTTAATCTGAGATTTGGTAGAGGCATTCTAGGGCTTATATTTAATTTCCTATAATTTTCTCAAGCTTATTTTATGCAATCCCAATTAGCTTATGAATTTATAAAGATCTAGGTCAAAGTTTGACCTAGATTTTTGAAAGTTCATAAGTTTCTCAATCTATTTCCAATCAATGCATGTAGCACTCCATGGAACCAATGAAAAATTATTTTTCATTGGAAAATAAGTTCAAATCATAATCATATATGGTTTAATTGGAAATTGATTTTAATAACATCATGACATTTTAGTAAACAGTGAAAGAACTACAATATTTAAGTTTATGAATGTGACAACCCTAGAGAGAGAAAGCTAGAGAGAGAGACTTCCAATTTTGCAAACTTTTTTTTTTTCAAATTTCATCATCTTCAGACCATTGGCAGAATTTCTTCTCTTAATGGAAAGCTGGCCATCAGCCAACTCTGACGGCCGGACTACTACGATTGCTTATCCTACTACCACCCGCGTCGAATCTATACAGGATGTTGGATCACCTAGGTTTGGTTGTTTCAATGGGCCTTTGGTCTTCAGAGAACCAAAGAAAATTTTTTAATAATCTTGCTCCAATTCTGTGTAAGCAAAATGGGAAACAATTTGTTGATGAAGTTTAAAATTTTTCACCTCTTTAGAGTGATATGTCTAAATCGAAGGATATTGGATCTTCTTTATAAAACAAGAAATTGTTTGTCAAGAGGTTTGGTAACATTCCTAAATCTGATTCTATTTTGGAGGGATCTCCTTCAGTCCAATCGAAGGGTTTAAATCCTATAGATGTTTGTGAAATTGCTCCAACTAGTAATGCTGTTGCTGAAATTCCAGGAAAGGATGCTAATTTTGGTCTTAAAATGGGAGATAAAAACCTGAATAATACATTGATTAAATGATCTTATATTAAAGTTGATTTGTCCAAGGATGATCAATTTTTATCGGAAGATGGTTTGGCTGTTCGATTGTATGAACCAAATGTTAATATTAATTCAAACAAGCTTCAATGCTCGGTGGTGGTGAAGGTTTTTGCCAAATTCATTTCAATTTAGGTGGTAGCTGATGAATTATGAAGACAATGTTCCAAGTTTGGTAAATTCCATTTAACGGTTCTAGGTTTTGGATGGGTGCCTGATTCATTTTATTCTAATGAAGTCATGGAGAATGTATTATCTGGTGGTCCTTGGTTTGTGAACGAACACATTGTATGTATTGATAAATGGCGCTCAAAATTCTCACCAGAGTCATTGAGAGGATTGTCTTCTCTTAATGGGGTATGAATGCCCAACCTTCCCCTATACTACTGGGATGAAGTTAACGTGGTAAGGATTGCTTCTTTGATTGGAACCCCTATTCTCATTGATGGTGATATGTTTCAATGGGGAAGAAGAGAATTTGCAAGAGTTTGCGTCAGAGTAGGACAAGATAAACAATTACCCTTGGGAGTGTATGTGGAAGGAATGAATGGATGCTTTTTTTTAAAAAGTGTAGTACGAGAAGATCTCAACATTCTATTTTAAATGTGGAAAAGTTGGTCATTTAAATAATGCTTGTGGTTTGAATGTGGAAGTAAAAGAGAAGAATGTGGAAGAGAGGCAAGATGTTTCAGTAAGAGTACAAGATACCGAGCAGTTACATTCTAAAACTAATAAGACGTCCTATGGGCCTTGGATGTTAGTAAATCATAGAAGAAGGAATAAAAGGAATTGGGGAAATTAGAAAACTGCGAATATCCAGAATACTAAACTTGTCTTTTTTTTTTTGAGAAGAAATGCAAAAATGCATTAGAAACGAAAAAAGAAGTTATTACAAACTACTTAATACCATCTAAAAAATTGAAATCTTCCTTCAAAATATACAATAATGAAGGAGGGATCTCAATGTTAGAAGTATCTTGCCAAATAAAGCTCTTCCTTAAAGCAAAATTAGCGCCCCAATCCGCTAATTTATTATAATTTCTAGTAGTAAAACTAAAAGAAACTTGATTGAAATCACTTATAAAGGATAAGCCGTCTTCAATGAGATATTTGCTCTTGAATCTTTTAAAAATTTGTTGAAGACTTTTGATGATGTTGTAGTTGTCTCCTTCTATAATGACACCTTGTGCTTCCACCATCCAATCTTGTATGAATCTTTTAGCATGTATACCGCTTGAAGTTCCAAATGGCCAATATCCCAATGCAAATGTTGAGTACCAAATGCAAGTAACATTCTACCTTTATCATCTCTATAAACTCCAGCAGCTCCAGCCATATAATTGCTGCATAAGAATGCATCCACATTGATCTTTATCCATCCAGGTGGAGGAGGACGCCAAGAAGAAAACATCTTGCGCTGATTGATATCCAAGTTGTCTAAATAGATGTTGATTGTAAGAGATATAATAGACATAGAAATTGAATTAGATGCAATAATTATATCTGAGTCTTCTCTTCTTTTGTGAATCAACAAATTTCTGCTTTTCCAAACCAGAAAAATTGCAGAGTAGTAAATGTTTTCAAGGATCTGATTTCTGTTAGACATACTTTTCAGTTTTTCTAAGCATTTCATATAACTATAAAATTGAGGAACCTGGAATCCCCATCTATTTAACCATGATAATGCTTTTTTTAAATTTTCCACAAACTGCAGCAATATGATCCTTATTCTCCTCATGATCACAACCTCTCGGGCATCTAGTAAATTGAGTTAATTTTCTATGAAAAAGGAATGAATTACTTGGAATAGCCTCATTGTGTAATATCCACCAAAATAATTCAACCTTTGGCCTTAGTTTCATATCTTTCGACCATTTCTATAAATTACAGTCGGCTTCATCCTCCTGAATTGAATCTTGCAAAATTGCTGCTATGGACCCCCCAGAATCTTTCCATTTTATTTGCATTTGGTCTGCACCCAGATCCAAATAAATTAGAGTTTTTGAAATGGTTTCAAACAGTTGTTCACCTAAAAACATTTGGAGATGATCCTTGATCCATTTTCCATCCGAGATGAAGAAGTCCAGGCCATAACTATCGATCTCCTTGTTGCTAACTAAAGTTGGCCATTTTGAGATACTTTTGTCCAATATTCAGGTATCAAACATCTAGTTAACAGATTTCCCATTAGAGATTTTCCATCTTACTATATTGGTAAGATATTTAGCTCCATTGCATAAAATTTTACATGTTGAGGAGGTTCCTTTCTTTCCTTGATTCTTCCATAAGTCTTCTCCATATCTGGCTCTTAGAATATGGTTGAGTAGACAGTCCTATTTTGTATAAAATTCCAAAGCAAATTTGGCTCTAAGATGCCCCATTTTAGCTATAGCAGAAAAACGACCTCTACCTCCTTGTTTCTTTGGTTGGCAAAGTTTCTTCCAAGATACATAATGAATTCCCAAATTTCCATTCTTCTTATTCCATAAGAAAGTTCTACACATTTTATCAAACTATTTTAGGACTCCCAAAGGAACCAAGGATAAAGTTGATAAAAATAAAGGAAGTGATAGAAAAGCTGATTTGATTAAAACAATTTTTCCTTCCAAAGAGATAAATTTTTTCCCCCAAATATTCAATTTATTCATGGAAACTTCCATAAGATTATTAAAATCTGATTTCACTAACCTCCTAGGAGTAAGCTTGATGCCAAGGTAGTTCATTTCTTTGACAGATTTGAACTTCCAAACATCTTCAATCTGTAATTTCCTTCTTTTGTTTACTGTGTTCTCGAACATCACCATGGATTTATTGTGATTAACAGTTTATCCAGTCCATTTGCAGTAGTTGTTCAAAATATTCTTCACATTCTTAATCTTTTTCAAGTTAGCTTCAGAGAAGACTAAAATATCGTCGGCATAAAGTAAGTGAGAAACTTTAGAAGCTTTAGAAACAATTTGGATGCCAATCTTCCTTCCTCTTTGATAAAAAGTATTAGATAGTATTTGGGAGCACAAAATAAATAGAAAAGGAGATAGGGGGCAACCTTGTCTAAACCCACTCCTAGCTTCAATCCAATTCAATTTTTCACCATTAATCAAAATAATAAATTTAGGATTTGAAATGCAATTCATAATCAAATCAAAATATTTGCTAGCGAAATTGAAATGGATAAGAACTTGCCTCAAAGCTTGCCAACCCATCCTATCATATGCTTGCTCCATGTCTACTTTGATAGCTAAAAAACCTTTACTTGCTTTTGAATGACGGATCTTACTGATAACCTCTTGAGCCAAAATAAAATGATCTGACATAGATCTCCCTTTTAGAAAAGCCACTTGATCATTGGAAATCACTTTGTGAATCACCATGTCCAACCTGTTAAGTAACATTTTTGCTACTAATTTATAAGTAGACATACGAAGGCTAATTGGGCGGAAGTTTGCTGGGAAGAGAGGATTTTGCAATTTCGGAATTAATACTATCAACGTCTCCTTCCAACTGTGATTCATAGATCCAGATTTGAAAAAATTATCAATGTCTTTCGAGACATCCTGTTGAATAGTCTTCCAAAAGAATTTAATAAAAGATAAGGATATCCCATCAAGGCCCGGAGATACATACTTTCCCAGGTTGTTCACCACCACCTGAAGTTCTTCCTGTGTAAATTCAGCATTCAGTATATGTTGATCAGCCTCCTCCAAGACAACAAAAGGTTTTGGCCAGCCTTCCAATAAACAATCTCTATGTCTCCATTTTTATTTGAGATAT